ATTCGATTGCTTGCTCCTTGAAATTACTATACATTCTTTCGAATCATAAATAAATATGCATACGAATTTCCAATAAAAGGGTGATTTTTGCCAGATTTTTGATAAATCGGAGGGTGTATCAAGAATTTGGGCGTGATTTTTGAACAGGGGATCTTTAGATTTCAATTTCTGATGATATATTTTATGGGGTTGGGGGATTTTGAAGGTTGAATTTGATGTTTCGATGGGTGGACTTTGTTAAGGAAGGGTCTGCGAAGGCACACGCGAGAAGAATAAGACCAGAGTAAATAGTTTGTTTCAGAAACTGGTTCTTCTTCTACGATTTTAGTTTTAGCTTTGACACGTTTTTAAGAAATCCTGACCTAAAATCGCTAATTTAAATTTATATGAACTTGTTAATTATATGATTTTAACCCAAAAAATAATATCTTGCTTTGGATTTTTTAAATTTTAATAACAATTTGAAATCAAATCGAACAGTTTAATTGTAATTTTAAACCGCGAGTTGGAACTAAATTTAGTCGTTTGAGCTTTTTTAATTAAATCGTTTTAAATTGTTTGAATTAGGTTTGAGTTTTTCTCGAACCGTTTTAAATTGTTTAATATGAAAATTGGTCAAAATCTGCCCGACTCATTTGCTAACATCTTTGCGGCTTCTTCAACTACCTAAATGGTGAAAAAATAATGCTATTTGTACATTTTTGTGTAAAGATTAATGACGTGGAGAAGAAAGAGAGGGGGCAAAAAATGAGATTAATTTTTGTGTACATTTTTGTACATTGTGCCACATAGCAATACACTATTGAACAATTTAAATTTTTGACAATTTTTTCATCCAATCATACTTATCAATACACACAATGTCACAATCATGTAAAAAAAAGAGCGTACAATTGGAATTTCCCATTACTAATATTGCACGTCGTGGCCCATATTTCAATTTATTTCCTCCTGCATCCACTACTGGGCCTAAGGACCACGCAATTGATCAAAGCCTAAGCCTCGTTTTGCAAGGCAGATTTTCTCTATTGGCCCAGTTCAATTACTGGGCCTCATCCAATAGGTTGGGAAAAGAGGAAATTACACCTACACCTACTTTTAGATTTTCATTTTCATAAATCCTGATTCAAG